AGTCAAAAAATTCTACGCATAAAAAGACCCGCTAGGTCAAAAACCCGAAAGGGCGACTTAGGCAAAAAAAAATGGGCATCCCGGTGGGCACAAAAGCCCAGGCAAAAGTTAGGGATAAAATGAAAAAATAACAACCCGCTAGGTCAAAAACCCGAAAGGGCGACTTAGGCAAAAATGGGTATCCCGTTGGGTCGAAAACCTGAAAGGGCGATCCAAGCAAAAATTAGGGATTTTAAGCGGGAGGCTGCAGTCTGAATGCTCTTCACAAATGACACGCGCACATCTATAGCACCTTGGCAGCGAATTGACCGATCCAACTACTACTCTTCGGAGGCAAGGCATTGAGACAACTTAGGATATGGGAACTGTAGCAATACCGGTTTTAATGGAAATTCGAGCATCTCTCATTGCCATTTACGCCTGTTGTACTTTTTTCGTTTCTATTTTGCAGCTACCTCATATAGGAGTTGCTTCCTTGTACGAATGCCTATTCACAGGCCAATCAATAAAATCTGTTTTCATCAAAGTTGCCTCTTATTATCATAAAATGTTTTGTAAGCAGAATATGTTTTATTTGATAATTAAACATGGCATTAGAAACATGGGGAATAAAAATTCTCAAGCCAAGATAAAACTTGATGTCACGTCAATGTATAACCATGTGGGGATGTCATATGCACTCCGAATGTTGTTTTTCCTTGCAGGTAGCAATTTACGACAGTCACCCTAACCCCGCCAGCACGTGAAACTGCCTCCATCTATTACAGGCAACTTCGGGTCTGATTCCCCAAGTGAATTCAGAAAGTCTAGAATCGTCTTTTAACTCAGCACGCGCAAGGGCATCCTTAGTGGAGTTAATCAAGAGCATCCCCAGTAAAGCTAAACCGGAGCATTCGCAGAGCTAAACCGGGGCATCAGTAAAGCTAAACTGGGGCATTCGCAGAGCTAAACCGGGGCATCAGTAAAGCTAAACCGGGGCATTCGCAGAGTTCAACCGGGGCACTCGTAGGTGTCCACGCTCATCTCTTATCCCTAAGTGATTCAAGAGACAATTCCCCAGTGTGCATAAACTTGGAACATGTATTCGAAGGGATCCACATGGTGTTCAGTATCCATTCTTCAGCATATTCACTTATATCACCCCTCAACAGTTCGGGATGTATGGAGGTTTGGTCAGATTATCTCTTCCTTCAACGGTACGATTCAGAATCCAGCAGTACCTAAAGACTCGCTTCGTCAGCAATTCAGTCTTCAGCAGAGTCATCAACAATCTTCGGTATTATGGGCTCCCCAGTGCAAATCTTTATCAGTATCCCCAGCAATCTTTGGTACTACGGACTTCCAGTGTCGATATGTATTGACATCCCCAATGATGAACAATGGTTCCCAGCAAGCCTACTCTTATCCCCTTGAAGTTTATTTCTTCGCATTGCATATAGTTATCATTACATATCATTGCATCCTCAAAAGCGCGTAGCTGATCCATCAGAATGGATCTCTACGTCAAAAGAAATTCAAACATGCATACAAAGCATAAGCCAAACCAGGTACCTTACACGAAAGACCTGAATCATTCAAGGACAACAATACATCCCTACAGGAGGGTATCATGCTCAAAGTTCCCAGTCGGTGACCTTCACCTTTTCAATGCCAAACAAAATCAATACACTTTGTCGTTCTAAACCTAGTTCTTGTCTGGTAGTCGGTTCCCTAAACACTCGTCAGTATCCATTCCTAAGCACTCGTATGTGTAAAGTTTCCTAAACACCCACCCGGGTCAGTTATTCAAACACTCGTCCGTGTTTAAACTTTCTTGATGCTCGTCCGTGTCGCTTATCTAAAACAATCATCATGTCATAACCCATGTTCCCTTCGTCGAACCTGAGATCGCCTCTTGGCTAGGTTCTTCCTTCAAATCATCGTCGAACCTAAGATCGCCTCTTGGCTAGGTACCTCCCTCAAATCATCGTCGAACCTGAGATTGCCTCTTGGCTAGGTTCTTCCTTCAAACCTTTGTCGAACCTGAGATCGCCTCTTGGCTAGGTTCTTCCTTCAAACCTTCGTCGAACCTGAGATCGCCTCTTGGCTAGGTTCTTCCTTCAAATCATCGTCTAACCTAAGATCGCCTCTTGGCTATGTTCCTCCCTCAAATCATCGTCGAACCTGAGATCGCCTCTTGGCTAGGTTCTTCCTTCAAACCTTTGTCAAACCTGAGATTGCCTCTTGGCTAGGTTCTTCCCTCAAAACTTTGTCGAACCTGAGATCGCCTCTTGGCTAGGTTCTTCCTTCAAACCTTTGTCGAACCTGAGATCGCCTCTTGGCTAGGTTCTTCCTTCAAATCATCGTCAAACCTAAGATCGCCTCTTGGCTAGGTTCCTCCCTCAAATCATCGTCGAACCTGAGATCGCCTCTTGGCTAGGTTCTTCCTTCAAACCTTTGTCGAACCTGAGATCGCCTCTTGGCTAGGTTCTTCCCTCAAACCTTTGTCGAACCTGAGATCGCCTCTTGGCTAGGTTCTTCCTTCAAATCATCGTCGAACCTAAGATCGCCTCTTGGCTAGGTTCCTCCCTCAAATCATCTTCGAACCTGAGATCGCCTCTTGGCTAGGTTCTTCCTTCAAACCTTTGTCGAACCTGAGATCGCCTCTTGGCTAGGTTCTTCCTTCAAACCTTTGTCGAACCTGAGATCGCCTCTTGGCTAGGTTCTTCCTTCAAACCTTCGTCGAACCTGAGATCGCCTCTTGGCTAGGTTCTTCCTTCAAATCATCGTCGAACCTAAGATCGCCTCTTGGCTAGGTTCCTCCCTCAAATCATCGTCGAACCTGAGATCGCCTCTTGGCTAGGTTCTTCCTTCAAACCTTTGTCGAACCTGAGATTGCCTCTTGGCTAGGTTCTTCCCTCAAACCTTTGTCGAACCTGAGATCGCCTCTTGGCTAAGTTCTTCCTTCAAATCATCGTCGAACCTAATATCGCCTCTTGGCTAGGTTCCTCCCTCAAATCATCGTCGAACCTGAGATCGCCTCTTGGCTAGGTTCTTCCTTCAAACCTTTGTCGAACCTGAGATCGCCTCTTGGCTAGGTTCTTCCTTCAAACCTTTGTCGAACCTGAGATCGCCTCTTGGCTAGGTTTTTCCCTCAAACCTTTGTCGAACCTGATATCGCCTCTTGGCTAGGTTCTTCCTTCAAATCATCGTCGAACCTAAGATCGCCTCTTGGCTAGGTTCCTCCCTCAAATCATCGTCGAACCTGAGATCACCTCTTGGCTAGGTTCTTCCTTCAAACCTTTGTCGAACCTGAGATCGCCTCTTGGCTAGGTTCTTCCTTCAAACCTTCGTCGAACCTGAGATTGCCTCTTGGCTAGGTTCTTCCTTCAAATCACCGTCGAACCTGAGATCGCCTCTTGGCTAGGTTCTTCCCTCAAATCATCGTCGAACCTGAGATCACCTCTCTGCTAGGTTCTTCCCTCAAATCATCGTCGAACCTGAGATCGCCTCTTGGCTAGGTTCTTCCTTCAAATCATCGTCGAACCTGAGATTGCCTCTTGGCTAGGTTCTTCCTTCAAATCATCGTCGAACCTGAGATCGCCTCTTGGCTAGGTTCTTTCTTCAAACCTTCGTCGAACCTGAGATCGCCCTTTGGCTAGGTTCTCTGTCAAATCACTCTCATGTGTCACCCTCGGTTCGTAGGTCGCCCGTAGACCTCGTCCGCTGTCTTTTCATACCAACCATTTTTCTTGTATTGGCATCAAGCCACGTTACAAGTCCAATCTTTGTCTCTTCATTGAAAAACAAATTTCTTTTCCCCAGCAGATCACAAAATAAATAAAGAAAACACTCTTTCTCCCTCAGGACAAATTTTTGGCATTGATATTTAATCATCTTCAACCTTGAACTTCCGAAAGGCATGTACCAATCGTACTTTCAGGTTTAAGACAATTAAATAGGGGCAGCTGTAATACCCCAAATTTGTCCTACCCTTCCTATCTGGCTTACGCATTTTTTTCACATTAGGTCATCTAACACATCATGCATCATTAATTGATAAATTGGCATAAGATCATGGATTTCGAGGAATAAGGGTTGGTGTATGGCTTTAAGGTTCCCATCTTCGCATAAGCTTGTTTCGGTTGATTTCTCCATTAATAATCTGTTTGAAGCTAGGTTTTCATTTCATGGACCTTATCATCATCAGGCTACGATGCTATTCTTTTCTTCTCAATGTCAAGTTGCAAGGTTTTATGAGACGAAGCTAAAGATCAGGGTTTATACATTTTCATATTTGAGCTTGTCAGCATTCTACCTGAGGTTCATTCCATATCAAGGTATTCGCATGTCTCATCTTTCATATTCATCTGCAAAGAATTCCTCAGGGGATAGTCATTATCATCTATTGAGAAGGGGTCCAAGACGTCGTTATTCTAGTGCTCATATAGTCGGGACATGGTACAAGATGTTGATTGTGATCAAGATGTCATTACTTCAAATGCTTATTGCTTGACACGCAAATTTGGTTTAGATCGGAAAAGTGAATTGAATTAGGGATTCACTGAAGCGGTGGTTTGATTAGAATTCATTCATCAATATTTGAAGTGGATTTGGAGAAAATCAAAGTTCTTAAATATTTGTGTGGCTTTTCTTGGAATTCAAACCACAAGTATGAAAAAGCATGTATCAAGTTCATCCAACCATCAAAATATTATCCAAATAGCTTCTCTTGGATTCATTCGAGAGTCATGTCTCTTTTGGTTACCTTGCAAATATTTTGGATTCATACCATTTATTTGAATTCATACAAAGGCCATTTCATTATGTGGAAATAAAGTCAACATACATTCCAACTCCAAATATTCAAAATACTCTCTCTCTCTCTCTCTCTCTCTCTCTCTCTCTCTCTCTCTCTCTCATATGCTTCGTTTTCTTGAATCAACCATTAGCGATACCTTTCTCTGCTAAACAAAATCCACCAACAAGAACAATTTTGATTTTTTTCATTCAATTCCAAAATGCATTTCACGAATCTCGATGATACTCCAATGTTCCGTCATCAGCTTCAATGCTTGGAGGAAAGTGCAGAATCATTGCGCCTCAGAAGCGTAAAGTTCTACAAAGGATGTAGAAAGTATACGGAAGGAATTGGAGAGGCATATGATGGGGACATCGCATTTGTGAGCTCCCTTGAAAATTTTGGAGGAGGACATAATGATCCCCATTTCGTTGCTTTGGGAGGACCTGTAATGAACAAATTTACCATTGCTTTGAGGGAAATCATTACATTCAAGGAACTTCTTCGGTCGCGGGTAGAACACATGATTGATGACCGGTTACTACAAATTGTCAATGTTGACATCAATGAAGTTAAGGAAGCTCGTAAGCATTTTGACAAAGCTGCCCTTATATATGACCAGGCACGTGAAAAGTTTATGTCATTGAGAAAAAGCACTAAGATTGATATTGCCACTGTCGTAGAAGAGGAACTGAAGATTGCAAGAATGTCGTTTGAGGAAGCACGATTCAGTCGGGTTGGTGCTCTTAATAACATTGAGGTCAAGAAGAGATTTGAGTTTGTGGAGGTTGTCACTGGAATTATGGACGCCCATCTTCGATACTTTCAACAGGGAAATCACCTACTACAACAGATGGAACCTTTCATTATTGAGGTTTTGGATTATGTACAACAGTCAAAAGAAAGTTTCGATAAAGACCAGCTTTTACTTTTTAAAAGAATGCAAGAACACAAAAAAACAAGAAATACAAATAAAAGTGCATATATTGATTCTCATCATTGCTTTTTGTGTGGCCTCGTCGTGTTTGAAATGCAACCTTGTTGCTTCCATCTTCATTACCTTCTTCATGACCAAACTGGCGTATTGTAACTTGCCATGGTCTATGCCTTTTTTTCCAAAGCAATCCTGAACATTTACACAACAAAAAGAAACAGTTATTATCAATTCCAAAACAGCCCTGCACATAACAAATTCTAACAGCTTCCTAACCAAATTCATAAACCAACTACCCATAACTAACTCAACAAACTTCAAGCAGAATACAACTGACTTGCAATAGAAAATAACATAACAAACTTCTAACTTTTCCCTAACTTCTAACAACCAACTCCTAACCGAAATTAACCAATTCCAGCTTTCCTTTTTTCCCACCTCTTAACCAAACTCTCAAACCTTCTAACCACTTCTAACAACATAACTAACTTAACAAACCATAAACAGCATAACTAACTTAACAAACTATAAATAGCATAACTAACAAATATCCAAAACCATATCTCAGCTTCCCAACCAAAGTCATGATCCCCCAACCAACATCCCGTAACTGTTTTCTATAACCAACTAACAGAATCTCTAACAATAAAAAACAGAATTTAACGGCTCAGTTCATAACAGAAAAAATAAAAAGAGAACTTAGATTCAAATCTCACCATCTATTCCATAACTAACTCATTCAATTCAACAGTTCAGATTCAATTCAACCATAACAAACTTTCTCAACATCTAACAGAATATAAAAACCGATTCTTACCTGCAATCTCTTCATTTACTTCATCACTTCAGAAGAATCACCATAAAAAATTTTCTCAGGAAAATCTCTCATCTCTCTGCAATCACCTTCAATTCTCCACTGAACTTCATCTTCACGCAACAATTTGTATAACCGCTACTGCATCAACTTGCTTCAATCTTCATCATTTGCATCTCTGCGTCAACTTGCAACAACACTTCAACAATCTGCTTCACAGCTTCATCAACATCACAAATCGACAACAACAAACACCACACCGAATCGCACAAAATCGCAACAACAACTGGCTGGAGAGAACGTTAACAATAATCAAGATGTGCAACAACAATCAAGATCTCTGCAAAAATGCAACCATCATCATTAACTCTTCACTTGTCAATGAAACTCTCGATAACATAAATTCCAAAAGGCAGAAAACAAAGAAGAACCTGTAGAAAAGGAATTGGCAGTAAAAATAAGAAGAGCACAAGAATAGTTACCTAAAGAATATTCTGGTTTTCCATCCGATCTCGACTCGAACGAGGAAGCACCAAAGCGTCTTCGGCATGTAAGTGATTCCTTCTTCTTCGTTATTTGCACCGTTGGCTCAAATCTGTGTCGAATTCGGATTTGGATCCGTGAAGAGGAGGAATTGAGATCAAAGCGAAGTTTAAACAATGAGGTATTGAGATGAAAATGAAACACGTTTGAGAGCATAAATCGCAGGAGAGAAGAGAGTGAGACGGAGCAAAGCGAGGAGTCCGCCGCGCCGCCGAGTTGTCTGAAGAAGCGGGGGAGGCTGTGTATGTCGGTGCCGTTCGTGTTGTTTTGAGGAGAAGAAGAGAACGACTTTTCTTTCCCAAACCCTAAATCCCTTTCCAATTTCATATACTTTTTTTCATTTAATTTAATTGTTTTATTATTTTATATTTTTTATTTAATAATAATAATATGCTGAAACAATATAATTGTTTTATTATTTTATATTTTTTTATTTAATAATGATAATATGCTGAAATAATACAAAAAATATGAGTTTTTGTTGTAAGAGGAATTAGTGATGGAATGGACCAAACCAATCGATTCCTGGGCCCAACATTTTTTTTCTGGTCGTTTTTTTGCTTATTTACTATAAAAAACATTTTCTTTTGGGTTTATCTTGATGGGCCTAATGTCATTCTATTTTTTGCAGCACACGTTGAATCCAGCTTGCACCTCCTATGGTCTTATTTTCAATACTTATTTCGATTGCGTTTGCCATTAATTTTGGCGAGTTATTTTCTTTGGCAATATTGGTAAATAAAAGAGATTTCTTTTCAATTCTCTCACTTTTTCTTTTCAATTTTAGTCATTAGTTTTACTCATTTTTATGCCATGTGTTTCGTTTGCAATTTTTGGTATGGATTGTATGCAATATGTTGATACTTGCTGCCTAATTTTACTTGTTCGTACATTATTTCATGATTCCTTAGGAGATTTTGGTTCAAATTTAATCTTCGATTTAATTGAACTAAAATTAGACATTAGGCTTTCAAATTCACACAATAACATTAGGTTTAGAAGTAAGCTAGTCTCCTTCTGACTTTTCTTTCCCTTTTGCATACGCATCTAAAACTAAAACTTATTTTTTTTCTTTTCAAAATTTGAAACACTTTAAAACTACTGATGAGAATCATGCTTTTGCTTAGTACGAGAAATGATAAGCGGGTATCTTCTCGATCATATTGTTCTTCATCTCAAGCATAGGTGTCGTTCAATTCTCAAAGACTCCTTTCATGACTAAGTAGAAAAATGGCTAATATCTCTCTCTTGAGGTCAATCAGTCATCATCTACAACAAAAATACAAAACAAATTCAAATCTATTGTGCGCTCGAGCACCATTTCATTAAAAAACCCTTTTCAGATAAGGACACGATTAATTTACTTCTGTACCAACGCATAAGTCTCCAAACGTTGAGCTGCGGCAGAAGGCGGAATTAACTTCGTCCACACAAAAACATCTATAACAAAATACAAAAAAAACCAATTCAAATCTATTGTGCGCTCGAGCACCATTTCATTAAAAAACCCTTTTCAGGTAAGGACACGATTAATTTACTTCTGTGCCAACGCATAAGTCTCCAAAGGTCGAGTTGCGGCAGAAGGCGGGATTAACTTCGTCCATAAAAAACACAAAACAAACAAAAACATGTGAGCCGAACTACGGTAGCTCTGATTCCTCAAAAAGGATACGTAGGCATTGGGGTAGGGCCCAGGCGAGCACAATTTTATTTTCCCTACATTCTTTTCCCCTTTATTTTGCATGCATTTCCCCTTAGCAATAGTAGACAGTAAGCATAGATTAAACACACCCATAAGATAGACAACAAGAGTGGATACCGTAGAGTACTACGGGCGTGTGGGGTGCTAATACCTTCCCCTCGCGTAACAGACTCCCTTACCCGATCTCTCGGTTGCAAGACCGTGACTTCTCCCTCATCAGGTTTTCTCGATGTTTACCTTTCCCTACATGTGGGATAAAAGACGTTCGATGGCGACTTTATTGTTTGATGATTTTCAGCCGGTTGTTTCACATGCAGATGCACTTCCACCACCAATTATATTGATAACGACTCTGCTATGGCTCATTATGACTTTGATACTCCTATTTATCAAGCTGAAGAAGAAGCATATGAGGAATGTGATCTTCTTGAGGAATTAGCAAGATTGTTAAAACAGGAGGAGAAGGTTATCCAGCCGAATCAGGATTCGATTGAGGTGGTGAATATTGGCACAAAAGAGGTAAGAAGAGAAGTCAAGATAGGGGCAGATCTCGAGGAAAGTATAAAGGCCATATTGATTGAGCTATTCCGTGAGTATTCCAATATCTTCGCTTGGTCCTATGAGGATATGCCTGGGTTGGATACAGACATAGTGGTGCATCTACTACCGCTCAAAGAAGGTTGTTCTCCTGTCAAGCAGAAGCTTCGAAGAACTCATCCTGAGATGTCCAAGAAGATCAAGGAGGAGGTCCAGAAGCAGTTGGACGCGAATTTCTTAAAGGTCATCAATTATCCGCCATGGATTGCAAATATTGTGCCTGTGCCCAAGAAGGATGGTAAGGTCAGTATGTGCGTGGATTATAGGGATTTGAACAGGACCAGCCCTAAAGATGATTTCCCTCTTCCGCATATTGACGTGTTGGTCGATAATACTGCTCATTCCAAAGTGTTTTCGTTCATGGATGGTTTTTCGGGTTACAATCAAATTAAGATGGCTCTGGAGGATATGGAGAAGACACCATTTATCACGCCTTGGGGAACTTTCTGTTATAAAGTGATGCCATTTGGTTTGAAAAATGTCGGGGCAACATATCAGCGCGCCATGGTCACTCTCTTTCATGATTTGATTCACAAAGAGATTGAGGTATATGTGGACGATATGATTGCTAAGTCTGAAACGGAAGAGGAACATCTTGTTCATCTGGAAAAAATGTTCGGGAGACTGAGGCAGTTCCTGCTAAGGTTGAATCTGAATAAGTGCACCTTCGGGGTGAGATCCGACAAGCTGTTGGGTTTTATTATAAGTGAAAAAGGTATCGAGGTGGACCCGGCCAAGGTAAAAGTGATACAGGAAATGCCTGAGCCAAGGACAGAGAAGGAAGTACGTGGTTTCTTGGGAGGGTTAAACTACATTTCTAGATTTATTTCTCATCTCACAGCCACCTATGAACCTTTGTTCAAGTTGTTAAAGAAAAGTCAGACAGTGAAATGGAATGAGGATTGTCAGAAGGCCTTTCACAAAATAAATGAATATTTGCAGGAACCTCTGATACTCATGCCGCCAGTGGAAGGAAGGCCACTAATCATGTATCTAATTGTGTTGGAGAGCTCAATGGGTTGTGTCCTCGGTCAGCACGACGAGACAGGGAAGAAAGAGCAGGCTATTTACTACTTGAGTAAGAAGTTTATGGAATGCGAGTCGAGGTACTCATTATTAGAAAAGACTTGTTGTGCGCTTTCCTGGGCCGCTAAACGTTTGAGGCAATACATGTTAACTCACACCACCTACTTGATATCCAAAATGGACCCAATCAAGGACATTTTTGAGAAGCCATCTCTTACAGGCAGGGTAGCCCGTTGGCAGATGATACTCACTGAATATGATATCCAATACACTACTCCAAAAGCAATTAAGGGTAGTGTATTGACCGACCATCTTGCTCATCAGCCCTTGAACGATTATGAACCAATGAAGTTTGATTTTCCAGATGAGGAAATCGTGTATATTCGGGATTGTAATATGCCAGACCCAAATGAAGGATCCGAGCCGGGATCACATTGGAAGCTTGTTTTTGATGGTGCCTCCAATGCCATAGGC